GCAGAGAGCACCCCCAAAGCTGGTAGCCTGGCTCAGAGCCCCGCCCACTCTCTACTTCCTGGTCCAGAGGACCAGGGGCCACTTTGAGCTGTTCCCTGCAGGGGAGGGGACGGGACTTGTCTCCCAGCAGTGGTGCAGAATGAGTGAGCTTGTCTCTCTGGCTTTGCCGCCGTGCAGGAAGTACTTTGGGGAGAAGATCGGCCTGTACTTCGCCTGGCTGGGCGTGTACACCCAGATGCTCATCCCCGCCTCCATTGTGGGGGTCATCGTTTTCCTCTATGGATGCGCCACCGTCAATGAAAACATCCCCAGGTAGGCGGGGCCTGTCCCAGGACACGCCCATCTCTGCAACCAGCTGCAGGCCTCCTTGGCCTCAGGCCCCAGAACCTTCCGCACCCACACTCAGCCGTGTGCTGTCAGGGCTGGGGCCCGGTGCAAGGGGTGTAATTGCCATCTGAAGGCCGGGCATCCTTTTTGGGCACAAACACCCTAGGAGCCGTTTTACTGTCGAAAGCAGACGGGAGACAACGCTCCTTTTCTTCCTCTGAAGTTTTCTTTCCCCTTTTAGTTCTCAGTCTTCGGGTGACAGGAAATCCCCTGCCTCCTGTGAGGTTGGGACATGGGACAAATGCCATTCATGGGCCTTGGGCAGGGGACTCAGCCGGGTCTCTCTCCGCCTCAACCCGGGGCTCGGGAGGTGAGGCATGAACAGCAGACCAGGCCTCTGCACGCAGAACCCACGCTCCTGCTGCCGTCTGCCACGGTCAGGGCCGGCTGGGCACTAGGGAGAAGGCCGAGACTCTAGGGGCAGCCAGACCTCGTGCTGGGGGAGGAGGGCGGTGTCTCCCAGAGGGGCAGCCAGAACGTAAGTCAAATCGCACGAGCTCGGAGGACCCTCTCCGCAGGCACAGAGCTCAGAGAACCCTGTCCCTGCAGGCACAGAGCTCGGAGGACCCTGTCCCCGCATGCACAGAGCTCGGAGGACCCTATCCCCGCATGCACAGAGCTCGCGGAGGACCCTGTCCCCGCATGCACAGAGCTTGGAGGACCCTGTCTGCGTGCCCAGAGCTTGGGGGACCCTGTCTGCATGCACAGAGCTTGGAGGACCCTGTCTGCGTGCCCAGAGCTTGGGGTACCCTGTCCCTTGTGCACAGAGCTCAGGGGACCCTGTCCCGCATGCATAGATGTCTCCCCTCCTTTCTAGTTGTTCCCAGACCTGCCAACACCAGCCCCAAGACAACCAGGTTGTGTATGAGGACGAGAGGCTGCTGTACCCATGGGCAAACTCGAGTTTAGTAGGGCGGGTGCCCCCTGGCCCTGCCTCCCAACAGCTCCCAGTCTCTCTGGAAAAGCCCTAAGACATCAGCTCAGTTCCATTTCCTACGGCTCAGCCCCAAGTCTCGGAAGCCGAGCTGTGGCTTGGGAAGTGCGCCCACCGTCCATTCAGAAAAGAGCCCGTGAGCCTTTGCCTGGCGAGGAGGTGGCTCGTAGGGCCCACAGCCCAGTGAACCTCGCATAAATGTTTTAATATGTGAATGACACCTCAAACGTGTCAGTGTTCCTACACACAAATAACACCTAAGGTCCACCCACTCAGGATCTAACGGTTAAGGGAACCGGCTTATGTGGGGCACAAAGCTTACCCTTTGTTTGCTGATGTGACATGAGGTCACAGTGCTTGGGTGTGGCTGTGGCGAAGATGAAAGTGGCCTAGGTGGGGCGGGGTTCAGATTCCAAAGCCCTGAGGGACGTGGCCCGTGGAAGCCGGGGCGCCCTCACGGTCCCCCTGGGAGGCTGCAGAGGACGTCACCTTCCCTCCCCCCTGCAGGGGATGCGGAGCCAGCTGAGGCGCTGCCCAGGCAGGCATGCATTCCCCAGCACAGCCATCTCCAGGCCAGGCCAGCGCCTCCACCTCCCACCACACAGCCAGAGGCAGACGGCGGTCACAGGGGATTCCTGAGTCCCCTCGGCCCTCAGCCTGTGATGTGGGCGTGTTCCCCGGGGAGGGGGGTCTGATCTGCCCTTTTACCCCCTCCAAGGACAAGCCATCCCTTTCCTTGTCTTTATTTTGGCTGAAAGTGGTGAAGGGAGTGGCGGAGGGTTTAAAACTGGCAGAAAACAGGCGGCTTTTAGTCTGGCTGGCGTTAGCGCTGGCAGGGAGGAGGGCTGTGGCAGCCACGGGACTCACAGCAGGCAGAGATGCGGCCAGCCCTCCCTGGGGCGTCTGCTCCCCACACATGGGTTCCTTCTGCCTCCCAGCAGAGGCCCCCAGAAGACAGGAAGCTCAGGGAGGGGCAAGGGATAGACCCCTCAAGGCGGCCCATGGGCCTCCTTTCAAAATCACTGCAGCTGCCCGGCGCCTGGTTATTCCTGTAACAGGAGTGTGGTGTGCGCGTGCCAGCTCTGTTCCAGGGCTCCACGCTCGCTCTGTGTGATCCTCCTGACAACCCAGTAACGTGGGTGCTCTTCACTCCCAGCATCCCCAAGCTGCAGATGGGGAAACTGAGGCCCAAGGAGTTGGAGTAACATGCCCGAGGGCACACAGATCCCAAGTGGTGGGGTGAGATTCCAGTCCAGCGCTGGCTGGCTGCACGCGGTCCCGCCACCGGCATGCACCCACCCCTCACGCACACGCACACAGACACGTGTACACGCATGCACAATTCCCCAGCTGCCTCGAGCCAGCAGCCTCGGTCACCAGGCATCTTCCCATCCCCCGGGCCCAACACAGAGCTGGGCACATACAGCACATGCACATTCTCTAATAAGCATTTGGTGAGTAACTAACTGAAAGGACAGAATGGGGCCGGAGCGCCCACTGTGCGGGGAAGAGAACCATTCAGCAGACGTCTACTAGACACCCACCGACGGCCGTGGGCCAGCTGTGATTCGGTGCATAAAGTCGTGCAGCAGAAATTTAAAACAAAAAGCAGCACCCCCGCCCCCAGCCTTCTCCTGGATGACCACCTCCGCCCTGGGAGTGACCCCTGCCTGGGTCACTGAGAGCTCCAAATCTTGTCCAAGTCAGTGCAGAGGAGGGCAAGGCAGGCCAGAGCTGGGCCCTCCCCTCGTCTTCCCGAAGGTTAAAGGGCCTGGCCAGGGGCACCCTGGCCGGGCCGGGCAGTCCTTGTGGGCCGGCGGAGGACTCTCAGCGGCTCCCTCTCTTCCAGCATGGAGATGTGTGACCAGAGCCACAACATCACCATGTGCCCGCTGTGCGACAAGACCTGCAGCTACTGGAAGATGAGCTCGGCCTGCGCCACGGCCCGGGCCAGCCACCTCTTCGACAACCCGGCCACCGTCTTCTTCTCCGTCTTCATGGCTCTCTGGGGTGAGCAGAGCGCCGCGCCCCCACCCCTACCCCCGGGCCATTGGGGCACAGGTGACATGGGGTAGGTCCCTAATTTCCTTCTTGGGACCGCCACAGGTAGCACATGCCGGGGATGAACACGGAGGGAGGTCGTGGAAATAACCCCCCGCTTTACCTGCAGTTCCCAGGGTCTCCGCTGCGTCCGCCCCAGCTGCAGTTATTCTGACCCAGCCCGGAACCCCTGGGGGAAAGCCCAGGAGGGTGCGTTGCCCTTAGAAACAGGACCTCCCTCCTGGGACCAGGGTCTGTTGGCCCAGGGAGGCAGCTGCTTTAGCGCAGGAGGCCTGGGCTCTGCATTCCTCCGGCCAGAGCCAGCCCTGGGGCACGTGTCTCCTTAGACCCTTGCAGGTCCCTGTAGGTGCCGCGTGCCTCTTTCACAGGTAAGGAAGCCATGGCCACTGAAATGCCAGGTCTAGGAACTGAGCCCCCATTTCCCTGAGCTCTGGCCCCTCCCCTCCTCCCCACCCATCTCCCGCCTCTCTGGATCCTGTGTCCTTGGAGACCCATCCCTAACCATCCCCCACCACCTGCTGCTCCTCATCCCCAGCCTGCTGGCCCTCCTCAAGACCTCAGCACCAGTCAGCTCACTGCCCACTCCCCTCCTCTGACCTGGGCCCAGGAAGCACAGCCAAGCTCAGACCGCCGGCCTAACCATTGGGCTAATTGGATAACTCGGCTGGGTTGGCCGTGTACTAGGATAGGGCCCCTTCCTGGACCAGACTCCAGTTTTCGTGCCCAGCTCTGTCACCTCCAAGCTGGGACAGGTCTCCATTTGTACAGTGCAGATAGTGCTGGTACCCAGCTGACAGAGTTGTTGGAAACCTCAAGTGCATCACTGTGACGACCTTTGGGCCATACCAAGAGCCAGCTGTGATGTCCTGCCAGCTGGCACACCGGTTCCATGCCCATTTGCTTTGTGAAAACAGCCTAGACTCTAAAAATTAGAGCCCAAATCTGACCTCCCCCCTTGCGCTTGGGGCCCTCTGTGAGTCCTGTCACTTCACCTTCAGAATGGAACGCGAGCTTCAGTGAGCTGGGCCCCGCTGGGCCAGGCGCTGTTCTGAGC